GCCCTATATATTATTGATACTAAACCTTTATAATATGTTTTGCAATTATAACCCCCCATTTGTCATTTGTCTTTTGTTTATGGTATCTTAAATTGCTTATGATATCTTTAAGAAGTTTCAAAATTTGAAGCAGTCTTCTTAATAATCAGTCCTTTCCTTTATGCTTTTGTACTTTATATTTTCTTCAGAAAGTCGTTTTCTACTCCTAGGATATCAACCCACTTTTCTATATCTTTTTATAATACTTTTTATAGGTTGATTTTTCCTTACATTTAGATTTCCAATCCATCTTCTTACCTTATTTTCTGTTTGACAAACTCTTTTAAGGTCTATCTTAAACATTTTTCTTTTACCTTCTCTACCCTCTCCCTTCTCCCCACTAATTATCTTATAGCATTTTTCTCTATTATAGGTACAAATATATCACTCTGTACCAATGCTGCATAATAGAAATACATCGTGTGCCTCAAATGCAAGCTACATGTATAATTTTAAACCTTTTAGTGGCCATATTTAAAAAAGTAAAAAGAAACAGGTGAAATTAATTTTGATGTTTTAAATTTAACCTGATATGTCCAAAATATTGTCATTTCAACAAGTAATAGTATAACATATTACTAGTGAGAATTTTTTTCCTGATGGATTTTATACTCTAGTACATCTCAATTTGGATTAGTCACATTTCAGTTGCTGAAAAGCCATGTGTTGATAGCATAGCTCTATACCATAACTATGTATTTATAGGTTTATCTTCCCCATTTAACGATCTTCTCCTCAAAGAGAGAGATATTTCTTTGTCCTTTTATTCAAGTTTTATTCAAACTCACAATGTATCAGCATGTTTGGGAAAAGCTAGAATGTCCTTGGGTAACGTTAACAGAACAATAATTTCCAGAAGTTGGAGACTTCCAGCCTTAAATGGGATAGACAGATCAAATGACTTCCAAAACTCTTTCTCCTCTTGAGGTACTACAGTTTCATGAGATCGTACCTGTAAGCATGCTTGAGTTCTTTAGAAAAGGGTCACCAAATTCTAAAATATTTATGTGACTATATTTGTATCTGGATGCTTGGATTTACTTTCTCCTCTTTTTATGAGGTTCTAAAACAATCACTTTAATAGGTTCTTTTCTAAGCTTTATACATCACTGAAAAACCTGGTGATTGCATTTTGTTTTCCATATTCCATTTATTTATTCAACATTGTTCACTATCTTTAGTTACTGTGTAATGTGTTCTGGCTCACTCAGAGAGTCTGGGCTTCTTAGACCTTGTTTGGAAAGGCCTGATAAGACCAAGTTGAACATCCTATGTATGTGATGACACAGCTGAAGGATTGCTGATTTGCACTGTACAGGAAACACTTGAATTAGTTAACATTCTAGTAAAGATTAGCACTTTTATTTACATAGCTCCTTTCATCTTAGGCTCTCAAATACTTTACAAATAAGCGGAAAGCCATAATTCATATTTACGCCAAAAACTATTAATATTTAGCAAGTCACCTATAGAATTAAACTAGGAGCTAGTAGTCTTTGTGTGTTATTTTCAAAGAACCAGAAACTTGTATTTCT